TTTTTTCATCAAGTTGTAGTCATTAATGATTATCACCAGCTCAGTGAGTGCATGTGCAATGAACAGGTTTGTATGATCCTGTTCAATTTTAAATGATGATGTTTCTCTATGTCAGGCTTTGGAATCTGATCTTAGCAGCAGAGATGAAAAATTTCTTAACCCTTTGTTAAATGTGGAGAAATTTAGATGGATGACAGTTGCTGCGGCAAGTGTGGGAAAACTTCCAAGCCTTATAAATGGGCTTGTCAGGTAAGAAGATTTTGAAGCTTTGTTACTAATGGTTGTTGATTTTGTGTTGTTTTAACTGCAATCAGTATTGTAGCCATGACCAAAAAGTCTTGTCCTTCCTATGTTTAGTAAACAATTGGCTGTCCCCCTACTTTTTAGTCTATTGAAAGTGAAAGTTGGATGCTCAGGGGTTCCTCATTGTCTAGCCAGCCTTATAGATAGAATACTACCCCACGGCTGGCAACACCTTTAAACTCATTCATGGGTCCACATTCCAGGCACCTGTTAAAAACCAATTAGATCTGTGAGGGAAAAAAAGAGAATGCCAAGGGGAACACTTGAATGAAACTGCTACAAAACCGCTCAGCACTTCTGAAAATGACTGTCGCCATATTGCTTGTGAACCTAGAGATGACAACTGTAATTTGGCTAAGTACACTTGCACCTGTGAGATTGACCACTGACCAAAAATGAACACCTTAGAACTGGGCTCATGGCAGTTTACTATATGTTCAAGTGTCATTTAACTAAATTCTAATGTAAATTATCTAGAACAGTAAGTATTAGTTTTGAAAAAGTGCTCTTAGCGACTGCCTCAACTTTTTTGCCTTGTAGAGTTACAGAACAAACTCTTCGCCCTGCTACAGAAAAAGAAGACGGTGAGTGGGAATAATAATAATTATGATGAGTTGAGTTTCCTTCGCTCAAGTATAAACCTTTCTGATCAATCATGCTCTTTCACAGTGCTTTCCAAATGATTGTCCCGATCCGAAAAACAAACTGATTATCTCTTGTCGGTTAAATTAAACCAGTGAAATTGATTTGTTGTAGTTAAAAAAGGAAGCATCAGAGGGGAGTTATTTAACACGTCTTTCTTGTTGCTGTGTCATATTGGACAAGTATATGGCTCCAAGGTGAGTTTGAGTCTAGTTACTTCTCCTTTTTTTAAAAAACTTATCCTATATTATTTGACAAGTGTTCGGTGAAGGCAAAGTGAATATTGTTGAATATTCCCCGAGATGACGGGGCCTTTCAATGTTCAACAACATTTACTGAGCATGAGGTGAATTAATGTTTTAGTACAGTTGTTTTGGTGATTATTAGAGCTAAAACTTAAATTGTAGTCTATTTCTTTGCTTTTAACTTGTCATGCATCAAGAACCAGACCCGAAATCTCGCACCTACATTCTCAGACATAGTTAGTTGGGACGATTCTCGTGAAGAACGTTTGTGACGCTCTTTCCGCCCCTCTTCCCCCTCCAATGTTATCAGTTGCCAATGTGTCCATGTCATCTTGCAGACCAACACTGAGAGGGGCGGGCAGAAAGTGTCCCAACAAATGTGCCTGGGAGTGTAGATCATATGATCAATCTAAATTGCAGATGATAGAAGAAAAAACTCAATGAAATGAGATATTATGTAGTGGCCGTGTTAAAATTCGTTTGTAATTAAGTATTCAATAGGCTTAAAATGACTAAAAAGAAGCCATTTGCGGCCAGCCCTATCCGGAAAGTTAAGCGCTCCTGTCGTAACCACCTCGGGCTCGCGGGGTGATTATAGCGAGGAGTGACGTAATCCTGACCAAGTAGAGCCGAGAATCTCTAGAATCACATGAGCAATTATACTAGTTGCGATTATTTAAGAAATTCGTACTCTTATTGGTCAGGTCATTTCTGAAGTTTCTAAGAATCGATTACCGACTCCGTTTGTGGTTCAGTGGATTTTACGTCACATACCTGGCATTGACAAATGGAGATCATTCATTCCTGATACACAACACACACCCAATCAAGCAGCCGTCAACGAATTACTTAATATGTTCTTCAGCAACTCAGCCTTCCCTGCAAGGTACAGTTATATAACCTGTAACCAGTAGAGCGCTTTTTAGTTGAGTGTCTTGAAAAAGCGAAACTTGCTATAAAAATCAAGTATATAAAGAAAAAGACACAGAGGTTTCAATAATTTTTTTTCGTAAGCGGCTGTCGATGGTGTAAAAGGCGTCTGTGTCGTAAAGGTAACTTCAAACACGGGAGCCTGTTTGCAGGCTAAACAGACGGCAGTGAGAGGTGTCAACCCTTTAACTCCCAAGATCTGATTGCTAATTCTCCCCTCCAGCTGCTACACATTTCCTTGTAAAATTAGTTACGAGAATGTGGTGTTTGATCAAGATGACAACTTCGACCTGATAAGTCTGAGTAATCTCATTACCATTTTTTGCTGGATAATGTATGGATATTATGGGGAGAAGTTACGTGTTAATCACTTCTGGGAGTTAAAGTGTTAAAGGCGGTGGTAGACCGCTAGTAACTACCTTTTATTGAAACTCCTGATTAGACTTGTCAAAAAAAAACTTTAGTGTCACACTGAAGCGGTAAGAATTCCTAAAAGAACCCAGCTAGCTGCCTTAACCGTTGTAACCAGCAGGTTAAGTAGTTGAGATTGGTTTGGTTTGCATTTGCATGGTTGTGTGAATTGTGCAAGTTTTAGACTAATTACAAAGCGTAGTGAAATAAAACCATTGCGATCTTGAATTACTTTTGACGCTCGTTTGAAAATTGCGCCATTTTTCTCAAACAGGGGTCGCTCAGACTTCTTATCATCGTAATGACAATATTTTCGCTGTGCAGTTAATAGTGAGACCATACTCTGAGTACAGCTATGGGTATGGATGTCGTTAGAGTATATAAGATTAATCTGGGAAGGTGTCTCCAGAAAAAGATTGCGTCCAGGATATTGAAAAATTTACTCTGACTTTAAAAGTAACAACTTGCCCAGGTTTGAAGAGACTTTTTATGTTCTTTGAGATATTTTGGCTCACACGCATGTATGCACCTCTTAGCGTCTCAGTGAAAGTTTGACAAGTTGCCCTTTCTCTTTTGATTTCATTTGCTGACGGTGAAAACCAATTGCAGCTGACTGTCGGAAAGGTGCAGACTACGTATTAGCAGCCTTCCCAGGTGCATTAACTCCCAAAGTTCCGCGCGACGCGCTAACATCTTTTTTTTTCACTGATGTTTTCTTTTTAATCGCACGGGGACTTCTTCGAAAAGAAGGGACTGCACGTTGTCTGAGAAAAGTGAAGAGCAGAAAGTCATTTCATTATTTAAACTGTCACACAAAGTCCACATAAATTATACAGGTAGAAGTTATGCGCTTTCGTACAGGATTGGAAGAAGTTACTATGTAACTTGACACGTCACCCTGCTTACGGATATATCATTTTTGATGTATATTTTTCTCAGTCAAGCTAATTGGGATGAAAATTGTACGAACGTATCCAGTGCCCTGCATGATGTGCTGAAAGCATGGCAGTGGGAGTCAAAAGCAGTTCCTCCTGATCATCTACAGGTAATCTTTCTTAACCCAAAAACTTCCAAAATCTGCTTACTAATTTTTCCTTCTTGCAGTAAAACGTTCTTATTGGACAAGATGGTGTTTTATCAAGAGAATCTGCTCTAACTGTATGATCAGATTGTGAATTTTCTTTTCCTTTTCGTTGGATGATGTATGATACTGCAAGGAGAGGTTACATGTAAATAAGCTCTGGGAGCTGATGTGTTGATTTGCTCATGGAAAGTGTAGATATCTCAGGTTGCAACCCCTTACTAGTTACTGTCGAATAACGTAAAGAAAGTAGACATTTCTGAAAGGAAAACTTAAAAAAGAGAAAAAAAGGGAGTGGCAAATGGAAACTAAGACAGACAAATCATACTGGAGCTGTTTTCAACTGAGTGTCGAAATTCCTAAAGCAAAACAATCACAATGGTCATTCAGAACAAAGGAAATCAGTACCAGAAGCCAATGAGAACTCAAAGTACATGTAGAATTAAACTGCTTGAAGTGCGGGAAAAAAAGTGACCAACGGAGATTGGTTTTAATTTTGCATCTGATTGGTCGAGAGGGTGGCGCGAGTTTTCCAAACCAATCAGAGAACACAGTACAATTGTGGATTGCTTTCAACAATTACTTGAAAACTTATCTGTTAACAAGAAGGGAATTACATTTATTTGTCTTTAACTTTATAATGAAGTCCTCCAATTTGTGTTGCTCGCCTCAATTGAGAAATAACTGTTAAATGCTCATATCTTTTGAGAGCCACGTTTTGTCTAGCTCCTTTAATCATTTCTGAGGACAATAACTTGTGAACGGCTGTGGTTTGTCTTATAAGTTAGTGATTTTCAGTTATGTTATGATTAAGAGTTTTCTCTGAATCCTTTGATAAAACATAGCTCTCAGGATTCTTAACTCTATTGTATTGTTTTGTTCATCATTATTTTTTCAGAAATTGTGTGAACTTCTCAAGTACGAAGCACCCGCACTGGCGGTTTGTGCTTGTTCATGGAGCTGTGGGCACATTCACACCCTGACTGCGGAAGAAAGAAAGCATCCTATGCGGTAAAACCATTATACATGTACCAACAATCTTGAATCACTCGTTCCATTTGTGGTTCAGTGATGTGCAGTCCTGGAAAATCAACTCAAAGAAAATACTACCTATGACAAATGTCACTTACACTCAGTTTAAAGGCAGTTTTCGTAAAACCACCCTTTTACATGTATAAGCAAGTCAATGTAAACCCAAACTGAAATTCAACTGACTGCTTTAGTAATTTTTCTATTATACTTTTTGTAGGCTAGTCGGATTCCTTGTAAAGCCTGTGAATCCAAGAGGGTTTTCCCAAGGATTTGTAGACAGGTAAATTATTTTATCATGAAGTAATTGTTATAGGAACAAACGAGGTCGTTTATGGATGTGGCGAAAGCTGTTTCCGATAACTCGTGAATGCGCATTCTTTCTTTTTGGAAATTTTCAGACCGGATTAATCAGACACTAAACGGTTTTTGTGTTACCTTATTATTTTCAAATGGAATTGCTGAGGTGAGGCTGGGTCCAATTTGTGGCTCGTCTCTTCGTTGAAAGAACAATGCTAAATAACAAAATTAACATCAAGAAGAACAAGAAGTCATTTTACACAATTGTCTTGTTTTACAGGTGCGCGATGTTGTGTGAAGTTATGAAGACGATGTCATCCAGTGTTGAGGGTAAAGGTAACAACTTACAACTTATCCAGTGTGGGTAATTTCTCCATTTGTTGTAAATCCTGATAATTTAATTTTTTCAAAGTCAACTCTTTGAGCCATTTCAACCGTCTGTGTCTGTTAACTTTACAGACAACACGTGGGAGATTGACAACCCGATATCTAAAGGCAAGCCTGTGTCAAAGGTAAGGTTGTAGATAAAGATAAGTCTTGGGTCACTCTGGTCAAAGCTTACTGAAACAGTTTGTGAAACTAGATACAAGTACGGAGAAAATACCTCAGGAGAAATCTATTTCATTGGTAGATGAAAGTAAAGATGAGGATGTGAATTGATGATGATGATTTAGTTATGGCATAAAGCTCTTTCTGATGGGTTTGTTAAGTTATTTTGCACCATATATTTTCATGTTTTCCTTGTCTGGTTTCTCTACAGACCCTCGCATCATTGTTTTCAAGCGTTGTCAAAGCGCGTCAGCTGAGTAGTAAGACACTTGAACAGTTCAGACATTTGTTAATTACGGGAGGAAATGAGTGGTTCATTTACTCTATAGTCCAGGTTAGCGCGCTCTTGTCACGATCGGTTCAGTGCGAATCTGTTGTTCAATGAATTAAGTTTAATTTTCTCTCTCATACATTGCCGACTCTTCACTGATGGTTTGCAATCTCTCCCTGCAACCCTTATCTCCCAGAAGTGATTAACATGTAACCTCCCCCCTATAACATCCAGTCATTATCCAGGAAACAGGTTATGAGAATACTTGCTCTTATCAGGTAGAAGTTGTGTTCTTGATCTAACACCAAATTCGCGTTACTAATTTACAATCAGATCTTGGGAGTTTAAGGACTAAGTCTATCAAAGGTCTTGTTTTGATAACCTCAGGAGGATCTCTAAGTCCAATCCAGTGTCGCAACACACGTGTGCATATAGCATACGTTAAAGGCCTTAAACCTGATTCATAAAATATCATGGAGAAATCGCTTTTGGATGAAGGCCTATATGGGGAATTCAGTCTTAGCATCACAACCAATCGTTTTCATTTCTCTCTGAATCAGGAGGTGTTGAAGTGCAACCGACATGAAGATATCTTACTGGCAGGTCAGTTATTACATTTAGTTCAGTAACGTCCAGTTTACATTGGAGGTTGTCAGTGAGCCGAAGGCGTAATTTCTTTTGCAGACTACTGAAGAAATCCTTCGCTGGGCGCCTCTCCCTTCCCTGCCCTTGTTTAAGTGAAAATTGGACGAGATTTGTTCGGGTGTAATTAGCTTAAATTTCCATTCTTTGTCGTTTTTTCCCTACTCCTTGAGTTGTGCGATGATGTCTCTCAAGAAGGAGAATTCACTCACATGTGCAGTTTTCGGTCTCGTTTAGCTTTCTTTCACCCCTACCCCGTTAAACTCCTCTTCGTTTGCGCAATTTTTCTTTCTGTATTCGTTATGAAAATTAAAATGTTATATTTGAAATGTATATTAAAGTAGTGTTGCATTGTCCAAACTGTCTTTTTTTCGTTATTGTTTATTAGCGGACTTGGCCAGTTGTCTTTTAACGTTTGACTCTGAAAGCTTAGTGCCTTGCTTTCTTGAAAAAGTTATGCCAATGGTTATGAATCACGCAGAAGCTGAAACAATATTAGAAGACCCAAAGGTACAGTTGTTTATATCGGTTTTTCCTAATTGTTTGAACACTGGTGTATTCTCATATCCAATCAGCACACGTACATATGGGCCTATATTACCCGCTTTGTTCCGCTTTGTTCCGCGATATTGATCAAGCATGTTTGGTTAAGATAGCGAGACGTTAGCTTTGCTCTCTTCATTGAGAACAGAGGAGAAATCTAGGTCTATTAGAACGGAAAAAAAGACCGTGACCTTAAAATGCGTAACAGTCGTAGATGTTTCCTCTCGGGAGAAACATGAGGCTTGCAGAAGTCACGCAAAGTAAAGGTGTTCGAGGCAGAGCTCCTTTATGCCATTTGTATTAAAGTGACTAACGCTCAGCTTACGCTTCTCCCGGTTGGCCAAAAGAAAACGTTAATGAATGCTGCATTGGTAAGTCTGGTCGATATTGGGCCAATTTGACCTTAAACTTGATTAATGACACAGACGTGCATTTTCTTCCCTCCAGGGTTGGGCTATCGCTCGGCTTATGGCACACGCTGTGTGTTTGGGAATGACCATAGAACATACACTGTCGAAAGGAGATTTAACTGATAGCGAAATCGAGCGGTAAGAAATGTGAACAAGACTGAGGTGTATTGTTCCTTATTAACTGGCTATTTAAATATCAAGTCAAGGTCTCTTAATTTAGTTCAACTAGTTTGATTTCTTTCTTTCTTTCTTTTTAAAGCCCGGCTAAAATACAGAGGTTGGACAGTTTTCCCTCTCTCTTCAATTCCACGTCTTCATCACGCGTCCAACAGACTCTTGGTACGTTTATTTTGAAACGTAGACAGCATTTGATTGTAATGACATGACTGCGAAGATTATCACGTTTTATCTGTTTTTTTACCAGTAAACATCACATTGTGCCGAGTTCCGAAAAATAAGATATTGACCTCTATTTCGATCTATTGATTAGTTCGCTTTTGTGAGGATTTTATTGCCACCGTTAAAACCACCGAGGTTGGACCAGTGCCAGCACTATTGGTGTCCTTCCTTCAACAAGCTGTCGCTAGTATTGGAACCATCGTTGGGCCCCTATCAGCCTGTCTTCCAGAAGATTTGGTAGGTACATGTAGTTTTGAGTTTTTTAGTCAAAATTGTTGGTCAAGGACCACTTCCCATTCTTTCGTCCCTTTCGTTCAAGCCTTTCTTAACCTTCAACACTTAGAGAAGGATTAAAGTTTCATAATAACGCCTCAAGAAACTTTTTATACATTACTTGAGAGTACTTACACTTTTTGATTTCCCATAAAGCAATTTATAATATAAATAAATCTTTAAAAGAAACTGCACAAACTGGCAGTTTATGCAGTTTCTTTTAAAGATTTAGTCAGCAAAACCTTGGGAGAGCTCATTAGTTTAGAAAAAAATTGAATGTCACTATTTGGAGTATACTGGTTTATCTCTGTCTTGTTCACATCCCCTTAAAGAATGACTCGTTTTTTTACCCTTTACACCCTAACATCGGTATAAATATTCTCTATTCTGTTCTCTATAAATTTCTTAAGTTGTTGACAGGGAGAATTTGTTTAACAATCAGAAGCTTCTTTAGTTGGTTACTTATTTCCTTTATCGTCATGACCTTAATGTGTGATTTGTGGGTGATATTGTAAGGAGAAGTTAGATGTTAGTCACTCGTTGGGGTCGAATGGTAACATAACTAGCATACTTATACCATTTCAGGTAAAGGAAATATTGGAATTATCACCTAGTCTTCAAAACACACCCGATGTACTTTTGGGGTTGTGTAACATGAAGACAACGGAAGGTCGACAGTTGTGTGCCAAGGCTTTGTGCAATAGTATTTGAACGTATGTAGATTTGTATAATTGACTGGAAAGAGTTCAGTGGCATGGACGATATTAAGAGTTGTTTGAATGATGAACTTAAACCAGAGGTCAAGCATAACGTTGGGAATCAGTTGTGGATGTGAACGCCGCCAGCTGATGTAAGTTCCTTTGGTAAAGGAAACTCTGCATGGGATACAACGATATCAAGGAAACGGATCGAAATTTTTGGTGGAAATAAAAACGCACACAATAACAACACAACAACAACAACACCAACTACAGCAACAAAGAGAAAGTTACTTCAAAGAAGAGAAAGAACTGAAAATTAGACTTCTAGGTACCAGAATGGGAAGAGATAGGACTGAAAATTAGACCTCTGGACACCAGGGTCGGAAGAGAGTGGACTGAAACGAGACCTCTTGGTACCAGAAGTCGGAAGAGAGAGGACTGAAAACGAGACCTCTAGGTATTAGGGTCGGGAAAGAGAGGACTCAAAATGAGACCTCTAGGTACTAGGGTCAGGAAAGATCTGACAAATAGGCTAACCCCAAGTTACCCCTAAATTTCAATTGCGTTGCGAGGCCGGAAACTCATTTTCTCAAAGAATCAATAGTCGGCCTCGGTTTGAAAATGGAGACGTGTGGAACTCAGCTTTGGTTCATTACCTCTGGACCACAGAGTTCCTTGATGAACAGTCTCTCTGTTTTCGAAGCCGTCCTAGTTAACTTCAATCATGGGTTTGCCATCTATTGAATCGTGTATTTGCAAACCCTCTACGTCCGCTACTTAGGTGGCAAAGGAATAAAACGTGAGAATTAAAGAATGTAAATACATGTACACATATATTTAAAGAATATCTTTATACGAGTAGAAGTGAAATGTAAAGTTTATGTCTGGTTCATTGTACTGGAGCGAGCTTGTTAACGTTTAGTTATTTTTATGGCAGCTTTTAATTTAAACACGTTAACCGCAGTTAAAAATGGTGGGGACATTTACGGAACAAAAAGGGATCAATATCAGTATCTGGGCAACTACCCACCTACCCCTCCCCTAACTCAACAACAGTAAATTGACAACAAGTTAAGGTTAACGTTGGGTTAGGGGAGGGGTAGGTGGGCAGTCGCCCAGATACTGATATTGATCCACCAAAGGAATAGAAGTCACTCCTCAGGCATAACTTGCCTTAGATAGCTTTGGGTTCACCACCATTTGACCACCATTTGAAAGTCGGGAATTGCCTGGGAACGAGGATTCGGGCCTTATTCGGTCACTATACAAACCAGCGCGAAATATTACCTTTATGCACAACGTAGCGACACTGTTGGGTGCAATCTGATTGGTGAGACTCCAAGGACTCTCGTTTGTGAAAAATTAACGGTTTTGCCTTTGAGTTTTGCAAACATTTGCGATGGTTTAGCTGACAGGATGATATCCAGCTTCCTGAGTTACTTGAAGCTTCCTGCCTCGATTTGTTAATTTAAAAATTTGTTCAATCACCTATAAAGCATTTTTTTCCGAAAAGTTTTCACCAACGCAATATTCATATTCAGTCTGCTGATCAGAAAAAAAAATAACCTAGAAAAATATCCAAACAGCAAACGTATGGCCAAGTAGCAGTTGGTTTTTGTTTTGATTCTGGTTGGTTGAAACGTTCCAAGTCAATCAAAGAGCGTAGTGAAGAAGAAGGAAACTCCGGATCACTTACAACCCTTGACACCCAAAGATAAAATTAGATATTCTTCACACTAGTCTCTATACATGACCAATGGTACTAACATGGAGAATTTGTTCGCTGAGTTGAGAGCGCTAGAGAGTGATCATTTCCTTTATTCTCATGACCTTAATGTTTGACTCGTCAATGATGCTGTAAGGAGAGATAAGAAACCAATCACTCCTAGTGGTTCCAGGGTAAATTTTCAGTCACAAATTGCTCTATATTCAAGTCATAAAGTATAAAAATCACTACAAGGAGTTTGCTATTTGCGAGTGCTCTTAGTTCTAGGGAGGAAACAGATGGCGATTCGGAATGGCAATTTCCGTGGTGGTTCAATTAAGTCCTTGAGTTTTTTTTAATGTATTTGGATTTCTCCAACTCGACGAATGGACTTAAAAGAGGCAGATGCCGGGATAGACTAACATAGGATGCAGGAGGAAGAAGAGTACCTAACTGCAACGAAAACGGCGCCATAACAACATCACAAGAGAAAATCAAGCAAATCCAAGATGACTAACTTTACGATTCCGACCCCTAGCAGACAACAAACTGCCCTGACGTCCCGCAGCACCGCGCTCAAGGTCATCGAATCCACAGCCATCCTTTTTATAAATTTATTTGCGCTTGCTGGAAACACAATCTTATACTGGGCTATCCGAAGAAACTGCCGCCTTCGACAAAATACAGTGAATTTATTAATTTCATCTCTGGCTTTGTGTGATATACTTATGGCCGTTCTTTGTATGCCGTTCTCGATAGGAGTTTTCATTCTGGGACGGTGGATGTTTGGCGAGTTAGCTTGTCAGCTCCAGGGATTCGCTTTCTTCGTGTTGGCGTTTGTTTCGCAAGAAACCATGGCCCTGATTGCAGTAAACCGCTACCTAAACGTTACAAAACCTGTCGTTTATCGTAGAATCTTTACACGCAAAAGATCTCTTAGAATGATCGTATTTGTATGGCTAGTTTGCGTGATTTACGTAAGTATTTTTGCCATCCTGAAATGGCCAGTTTTCGTCTTCGACCCCGGCAAGACTATCTGCCACATTAGCTTAACAGATCACAATTTTAAGAATGCTTGGAATACAATAACAATGGTTGTTTTTTCACTTACCCCTATGGCAACCCTATTTGTTTCTTACTGGCGGGTTTTGGTGTACGTTCGTAGACACAATACTGTAGCTTTACGCTCGCTTCGCACTGGAAGTTTGCAAAGAAGTGCCCATGCATTGGAAGATATAAAGATTAGCAAGATCATTCTGGGTCTGATAGCGGGGTATTTCTGTTGTTGGCTCCCGGCATACAGTATTTCTTACGTCAAGCTAGCTTATCCCGCTGTTTCAGACCAGCGTTTCCCCCAAACCCTCTGGGCTTTTCTGGTATTCAGTTCTAGTGCCATAAATTCTGTTATTTATGGAATTCTGAACAGAACATTTCGAATAGAAATTCTCAATATAGTGAGTTGCAAAAGGGGTGTAGATCGAGCCGTCGAAAACAACATTACGAACCGTGTCTTGTAAAGAAAAGAAACTATACTGTTGCCATACTTGAAGTTATGTGTCTAGCTATTTTTAAAAACTCTCTCTCAATTCATTTGATACAGACAGAGAGAGCGAGAGAACAAAAACAGCTTTAATTGAAATGATAAAGAAAACCAAAGAGTTTAGTTGCGTTCAAATGTATTTTTACGGTGTACATTAGCCTAAGCCTGGCAATTCTGTCATCATGGAAAATAAATTAGATTTGATTTGTATGTCAAGTTCCTCTGGTATCCGCAATCACTTTTGGTTCAGACCTTGTTGCAAATGAAATTTCGTAGTGCCGAACTATTTTTGGCAGTAATAAAAGCGTCTCACTTTTGAAGTTAATCTACGTTCACGAAAGTGTTCCAAGTTTCCCTTGTCAAATGAAAGCTTTTCAGCCGGTACAGGACACAGTAATCAACTCGAGTAAAAAAGTTGGATTTCCATTCAAATTTCCGTTGCCTAGACTAGAGATGAAATATACGTCAGCGGATGTCAATATTTGTGTCACTAATAATAAGGCTGTGTCCATTATTAAAGCTAGCATTTTTTAATCATGTCTGTGGGAGAACCTTAATTCATACGTGAAGTAAAATAAAAGGTCAGATAGTCGCAAAAAAAGAACGTAGCTACATCTGACTGATTTCTCCAACTCTCCACAAATTGACATTTTAGTCATCCTTTTGCAGCGACGTTGGAACCTTTCGGTTCGTTTCCGTAGATCTTCGGAAATCGTCGGAACAGCAAATCGTTGTTGAGCATGACATTTGATATCCTAACCTGTATAAGTTATCAAAGCTATACTCTTTCCGAGCATAAGACTCTACCAAGGCGCGATGAGGAAAACCTCTTTACAGTACCCTTTTATATCTATTCTGAAATCACTGATGATCTTCGCAATCTGATTGGCTCATAGATTTACTCTAAATGGCAAATTTATTGAACCAACAAGAAGGGTACTCTGTCACAAAACCGCCCAGATTAAGAAGTTTCATTAGGGGAAAATGCCGAACAAACGCCAGTTTGTGGCGAATTTTGCAAGTTTTATGGCCAAAATGTTTCCTCTACCAGACACCCTCCATAATAGCCTAGAAAATTTGGTTTAACCCTTTAACTCCCAGATCAAATTTGTAATTCTCCTTACTTTCAACCATACAATTCTTAGAATGCTAGTTAAGAGAATTTAGTATTGGATCAACCAATTATCCCTAAATTGATATTTTTCTTTATTCTCATTACTTATCTGGTTGATACTGTATAGATATTGTGAGGAGAAATTCTGTCTTGGTCACTCATGGGAGTTAAAGGGCTGAAGACAAAGACAAGGAATAAACACGACTCAAGTTAGGTTTCTGTGAATCTTTATTCCACATCTTTTTTTCGAACTTTTCTTTTTTACAGAAGTTGCATGTTCGTTTTCGCACAAGGCCAAAAGCAGGCCCTTTTTTATTGCGTTTTCCATAATTTTTAATTCTCCATCATTTTCAAACCAGACCATAATATCTTTATTTGAAACGTGTTAATTATTTCAGTGTCACTCTCGGCGCCCAGAAACTATACTTTAAAAAGTAAAAATTAATATAATCTATCAAAAGTTTTCTATTAAAAAAAAGGCATTAGAACTATGCCGATGAAGAACAGCGAAGGAAAAAAAACATTAAAACTATAAAAACTAATTAGACTGTTTTTTAAGGACTGTAAGCTCTATAAAATTATTAAAATCTCAAAAGAAACAGAAAACATATTTAAAAAATAATTTAGCAAAAAGAGTGAACTTATTGCATAACTAGAAAATGTGATTTACTCTACCATTTGTAATAATTGTCGCTAAAATTTATTTTTCTCTTGCCCTGACGACAAAAAGTATTTCAATTAGTACCGTAAGTAATATTTCATTAATGGTAAAATCTGAGAATAACTTGATCTGATGATATTACTACTAATATTACTACTATGACTTGGTCTTGCTAAAATCATATTTTACAAACATTAAAAACAGTATAGTGGTCAACATTTCAAGAAAGCATGGTTTAGAATCAGTGTTCCCCTTTTCAGGCAGTAACCGGTAAAATTTACCTTCTGTAGTACCTCTTAATACCATTTAAAATTGCTTGGAATTCTTAAAAATTCAACAGGTAGAAGGTTCCTTTACCGGTTTGAAAATTTATTTTACCTATTATGCTTAAAATAAGGGAGACCACTGATTTAGACTATTATTTAACGGAAATTAAATGTCCAGAACAATTGAAACCCTCTCAGAGTCAAGTATCATTTGCTTTTGTTTTCAATTGCCACACATTCCTAATCTATCTTTACATGCGACCCACATATTTCCATCTTTTAAACACTATAGCACATTCGATTGCCATCTAAATTGGTACGAATGGCAGGCCGACCGTGTCAAAAGTGGGTCGATATTGACATCACTTACCGAGTTCGATCTATGAGGTTTGGAAATCACACGAATACTGAAAATCGATAGGCAATTTCAAAGTCAACTCACTTCTGTTACCTTTGCCATAGTTACGATTTTAGAAAAACTTCCAAAGAAAAACATCGCATTACCGTCTCTCACATGCTGATAGGCAGTCTAAGGTTGATTACATCTTGCTTAGTCACGCGTTCTGACCAAGGTCACGAATTCTTACACCGATAATCATACTTCGGGTGACCATCAAAAGGAACCTGTCGACCGTTGATGAGTGTTTGTAGAAGCCATTCCAGTGACACAATAGGAATTGCAAGCAGATTAGCGGCGTGTTTGACACTCGCAGGAAGCTTGTGATCCTCGCAGATGATAACATCGCATTCGTAATCAACGCGGCCTGGAAGCTTGGCGACCATCCTACATCCCGCAGCCAGCAACACGCTGGACCAAGTGTCCTTGAACTGCTGGCTCCCGTGAAGATAGACCTTGTGAATGACAAAATCGAATAATGAGAGAATATTAGGGGATGCATGGTTAGGCAACTTTAAAGAATTCCCTTTTCCTTGAACATCATTCTCTAAATAGCACCGAAACAAGTTTTTAGACCTTTAGGAAGAACTCTGAATGGGTAAGGACAACAAAAATCAAAGGGGCTACATGTACATCGTTATCCAAAGACAACCTGCCCTTACAGCCAATTTTCCAAAGGAGTGAACACAGAGAAAGAGGAATTTTTTCTTTTTAAAAGTTCAAGGTGATGAAATAATTACCTTCATGAGTCACATACAGATAGCTATGCGTTTTCATGGTTGTGGAAGCATGCATGATCTTACCAGCCCCTCATGGATTCTTGAGCTTCAATATTTTCCTGGTTTAATGTAAATGGGTAACGCAATTTCCCGTTACCTGCACGGCAGGCGCGAAAAGGAAAGGGGGGGAGGGGAGGGGGGGGGGAAAGACACTAAAAGTACGAGCCACGAAGTCCTCGTTCTACTTCCCCCTTCTCCGATTTTCCCTTTCTTTTCCCTCCCCTACTTACGTCTGCCTTGTAGGCGTTATTTTTCTACAAAAATTGGACTGATGCACGGGTATTATGAGAATAACATCACTTACTCGCATGTCGCCCAAAATGTTCCTTCTCGGCCGGCATTCTACAATTTCCCCGGCCTCTAGGCTTTCTCCCGCAGGGAGCAAGTACTTCTTGTAGTCCAAACGCTTATCACAAGCGCAACAATCATTTATCCACATGTGTGAAACACACGGAATTCCAGAAGCGAGGGATTGGAAATATTTTTGTGTCCGTTGGTGTGTGTGGGATATCAAGAAGCACTCTGCGCCAGAAATCTGTGATTGAGGAAACGAGGACAGCACGACGCCACCACCAGCCTCGATCTGACGTTTCAAGTGATGGCGATTAAAGTCAATTCTCTCCGATTCACTGTCCGTCTCTTCAGGCTCATCCTTGTCTCTGGTCACGCCTGTCACCAGAAAGGCTAAACCAGCAAAAGTATTCCTGTTTCTTGGTAGATGTGGTGCTTCGACAGTGTCCTCTCTGTCGCTTATCTGTTTACACGGCGTGCGTCCTCTCACAGGTTGAGCCGGTATCGTGCCAACGGGCCTCGCAGGTGATTTGGGACCATACGTGGATGACAACCCTCTCCTAACATATCGTCGTTTGCCGCCAGCCTTACCATGCTGCTCATCTGAACTCGACTCGCTCTCACCAATCCTATGTCCCGCACGTCTAGCCTGTGCTTTGATCTTATGTGACGACTTATGTGTAGACTTAGGCGTGATATCCATGTCGGCGGACGCCACCTTTGAACGTCTTGGGCCAACGCGTGGTGAGGCGCGATCAGCATTTTTTTCCTGCGTTCTTTCGTCATTCGGGCTCGTGTCTTTAGAGCTAGTGTCTCGTGAGGTGTCCTTAGCATCTATGCCACCCGACTTGGAGACATCGTGTAGACTAACGTTACTGCTCCCTGCTCGCCTCAAGCTATGTGCTCCAATACTGACACTGGAACCACTTGTGACGCTAAACGAACTATCACTGGATAAAACAGCTACGGCTTGCTGTTCCGATAAAATAATTCTACTCCGTGGGTACCGGCGTATTGCACCATTCTGGGTCTGTATTTCGTAACCGCGTGCGTTTCGATCTCGATAATGTCCCACGATCACCCCTTCTTCATAGAAGTCATCTACAAGATCCCCTTGAGCCATGACACTCTGCCCAACCGGCAATAAATCCTTGATGATAAGGTTTTCACGTGGAATCCTTCGTTTGTCGCCGTCGTCAAAGGTTACCGAGTATCGTCCGTTTTTGAACTGCTTTGCAGTGATTATTCCTGGATAGAAGTAACCGTCTAACCACTTCGCTAACACGCGGGTTCCAGGAGTCAAAGAGGAGTCACTCGATGAGGAGCGTTTGAGATTTGACTCCTTCTCTAAAATTGGTTCGGTATCCTGCCTTGAGATCGAAGGGATTTCTGTGGGTTCACCCCTAGTATGTTGGTTGTCATCTTGTCCTTTACCTCCATCTTCCGAGCTTCTATCAGAATCACTCTTACCGGAGGTTACCAAGGCCTGCGTTTTACCAGAAGCGCGCGTTGCTTGTTTAGAAGCTGGTGATTTACTACTTTTCCTTCGCGGAGAACTTCTATTTTGTTGCTGAAGCTCATCTTGTTTCGGTGTCTTCGCAGTAACTGTTACACGAGACCCGTCGACGTTGGAAGTCTCCACAAATTTAGTGACTTCCTCCTTCTCCTCCTCTTGGCTCTCCACTTTCGGTTCCCCATCTTCTTCAAAGGTAAAAACCTGCACAACTTCTCCTGATTCCTCATCGACGATGGTCATAGTTACATTTCGTTTCACTTGAGTCGTTACCGTGGTTACAGTGCATGTGCGCATGATTTGCTTGTAGTGTACGGCACCTGATGATGTAGCCTTTACCGCCTCGCCTTTGTCAGGCTTTAGTTCATCATCCTCTCTTCTGAATCGTTTTAAGAGTGCTTCCTCTAATCCTTCGCTCTCAGAGGAAGCCTCCCTTTCTTCGCGAACTCTTTTAGTGCTCGTGATATTTTTGACCTCTGCTCTTGGTCTAATCTCTTTTCCACGCGTCCCACGAGGAGATCCTCTTTTTGGCTTTTTTCGCACGGGTTCTGGTACATCATCTTCGGCGGTAAATGCAAACGGATCGTCATCGCTTTGGACCTCTCTCATTCCTCTCTTCTTAGTTTTGGCGATGGCTTTTCGAGCGCGACTAAATATTGATCGCGGGGGTACTGGGGCATTGGAGTGAGGACGGTCTAAGCTCTCTGTGGATGTAGAAGCCCGAGGTTGGCTGGGCTCGAAATGGAAGGCTACCTCTGAACGGAGAAAAAAGACTTAATATCATTGAAAAAGTCATGACCTTTGGGAGAATTCTGAAGCTACTCTGGAAATATGTGAGCTCAATCTCCCTAGCCCCTCCTCTCCCCCCCACTACAAGTCCTGTGTTCATCAGGTTAGTTACAGGATAAGAAAATTATGTTTTTCGTCCTAATGCCCAACATCAAAAGAGAAGTTGAAACCTTTTTTTTTGTTCTTCAAGACTTTCAGGAACTATTGACTACCAATAATGTCTTGGCTGCCTGTAGTATTTTTCCCTAACTTGACTGTATTCGACTTTGAACCCGATCGAAGTCAGCGAGTTTCCTTTCGCACTCTCGGTATCTATCGTAATAAATGACGCATCACCGAAGAAGCATTTTCTATGACTTAGGCTCTTGTTCATACAAGATTACACCGTGATAACTTTCATTGAAAAATACTGCTGTGAGTTTGAGTAACTCCACTTTCCCCTTCTCTAACGTGTAATGGTAGGGTAATAGGATCTGCCGATCATTTGATCAATTGTCCAGACTCTCTCATGGTGGTGAGAAATCACACCACGTAAAAGATTTCAAAAATACCTTGGCTAGACATCCCTGGCGTCTCTCTAACCACAGGAAGAGCCACATCCGGGATAATACTGCGTCTGCTACTCCTCTCCTCTGAGTCTGGAGTGTCCGGACTAACGGGTCTGAAGGGGGGTGGAGTGGTAGACGTCAGTGGTCTTAGCGGCTCCCTTGGTAAGGAAAAGTGGAAACTTGTACCAGAGTCACTCGAGGATTCTGAAAATATTGCTGCTGGGAGCGTTGGTTTTATCGGTTTTCTTGCATGAACGCCTGCTGTGCTTGATTGTTCTTTTTCAAGATCATCAGACGTGTCTTTCTCCCGGAATATAATTTCAGTTCCCTTCTCCGGTATGCTTGCCTGTTCTTGTATAAGATCATCGGGCGCTTCCTGCTCCACAGGTTGAGTGACACCCCCTGATTCTTCAACGGGTGCATTCTTCTCTGGAGGGTGGATTACATCGCCCCTATCCGTAAAGGGGTAGGTACCTTGGTCTCGATGAATTTCGTCGATGCCGTCAGTAGATCTCACAAGATTCTCCGGTGCTTTGGTTGGAACGTTCATAGTCAGCTGTTCCTTGTCATTATCATCTTGGGCAAGAGCCATTGTAGGAAGTTGTCTTTCCAAAGGGGCCAAAATGGACTGGCTGCCGGAGTCTTGTTTTGTCAAAGTACTTGCCTCTTCAGCTTGAATTGTTTCTGCCAGTTTGCACTCGGTGACGTTATTTGTCACTTCACTGACAATCACATCCTGTGAAAGATTGAAAAAAAAAAAATTGGACAAGTTGCAAGGGGTCCAGTATTTGCCTCCACCTTTCTGACCAAGCATTTCCCAACGTTTAAACTCCAAGAAATGATTAAAATGAAACTTCTCCTCACAATGTCAATACATCATCATTCCTAAAAGACTAACTTACAGACAAGCGTGTAATGCAAATGGATTTTAACCCTTTACACTCTAACACTCGTATTTATATTCTCTCTTTACATTTTCCATAGTACTGACAAGGAGAATTAAAAGACAATAGACAATTAAAAGCTTTTTAAATTGGTGATCATTTCCTTTATTCTCATGACCTCAATACTTGAATCAAGGGTGAAACTGTAAGGAGAAACTATCATTCTCTGTGTTGTTTTACCTCCTGAATCCCCTCCAGTCCCTGGCTGGTATCTGATGGCATCTGGCTTCCCATGACCAACTGCGACTGAGTCAGGTGCAATGAGAACGGCATCACTATGTCTTGAGAATCTAAGACCCCTTGAATATTTTGTTCTTCCATTGGCTGGTCAGGAGATTCATCTGATAAAAAAAATTCATGAAACAGCTTTGACTCACCAGGGTAGTTTAGATTTAACTTTGTACAATTTTGACACATTATCTCAGACACTTGATGAGGATTCACTGCTTTTTCCACTTGGGGTTGTTATTAAGATATATCTCTAAGTTCTCTAAATCAATTTCAAATTAAAATATATAACAGCTGGAAGGAAAATAATCAAACTGAACTGGGCAATTCAATGGTTTCACTGATTTTGCAACTACATCTATTCTGTCAACTTAAGGTCCACAGTTCTCTTGTGCATACATTCAATGCCTTTTTGGGAAGCAGGGATGGAAATTGCCTGCCTCCACAGTGGCCCCTATGTAAATTCCAAACTTGGTGTCACATGTGGTCTCTATTTGTTGTTTGTTCCTAATTGTGATCAAAGGGTTTTTCTCTACATCTCTCTTAATAGAAGCCAATATCCTAATTTCACCAGCTGCATTTCAATGTGTAACCACAGGTGTATATAGACTTTGAGAATTAGAAATATAATATATTATATGATAAGCTGAATTATACTTGTGTTGTGATTGGTTCTTATTCATGATCTATTCGAGGACAGATGTTATAGCTAACATCACCAATTCCAACATTTTTCTTTTTTTGACATATAAAACAAATAGATTCCACGACATGCTTGGTCTGTATAGGAAAAGATCACAGGAGACAAAAATCTGGTAAGAATATCAGAAACACACTCAGCTGTGCCTTGTCTGCCACTTGTTTGTTTTTACCAACAGACACACTGCAACACATGATCTATTTGTTAAATATACAGCAAGATAGAGATTATGAAATACCTGAAATACTTTTCTGTTCCTTGTCTTCCTGGTTTATTACAGGAAAGAACATATCCTCACTCATCTCTGGTTGTGTGGGACCTGGCAGCACAGCAGGGCTTTCTTCAGTACCTTCAGCCTTACTTTTGCTTGGTTTAAAGGGATGCATTATTAGTGAAGATGGAGACAATGACAACTGTTCTTCATGTAAGCTCTGCTTAGGGTGATCTACTGGTAAATCAGAAATTAGTGGCTCATGCTTAGGACTGTCAAGAAAGCTACCACTTATGAAAGGTACACACTGCTCCTTAGAGCCATTTGGTGGCAGCACTGTATATTTTCCTTTTGAACCTGTGGATCCTAGGCTACTGTTACTCAAAGCACTACTAACTGGCTGCCACTGCTGCAGTTGAGGTGATGATTCACCCTTAGATGAGTCCTCACTGGATGAACCTTTTGAGGAAGTGTCACTTGACTTCTTTTCATTGGTGTCACTGGCTTGCTGGAGTGCCTCTTGCTGTTGCTTTTGCTGCCAGAGAGGTAACTCAACTCTTTCATCATCTAATGATTCTCTGAGTCTTAGAGATGCTGGCTTTTCCAAATGTCTTTCTTGGCTTTGTGACATATCAAATGACTGCAACAATTCTGCTGCTGCTTTTGACATCTCTGACTGTTCCTTCTCCACATAATTTTTTACAGATTCTTTGATGTTTTTGGATTTTTGAGTCTGTCTGTCTTCACACCCTTTCTCATATGTTCCCTCTTTCCTAAATAGAAATGAATTATCATAAATATATAACAAGAAAAACATTGCTGTGTGTTATCCATGAATAATTTCATTCATGAAAAGATATATGAAATACAAATGGCTTCTGGTACTTCACCATGGTAAATCACATGTATCATTAGACAAAAAAAACAGCTGTAGTTGAGCTAAGCTGTCTGGCCAGCCAGAACCTATCCAGAATAAAGGGGGTAAGTTCCTTACAAAAAATGTATAGCTGCATTGGTGGGAGAGTGTAACAGGGTAATTCAGTGTTATCAACTGAGTTGATAACCTAAATTGGCCACCATCAGCTTTGAACCTGGCCAATTTATGTTACCAACTCAACTGATAATACTAAAGAACCTGTCCTGGTTTCCTTGGCATGAAGCTACTAGAAGTATGACTAGAGCCCCTGGATAGGATATTAGTACATTGCACAGTTACATCCCAGCATTTCATCGGGCTTCTCTGACAATTTATCAGTACCCATTTATATTCCTGGGTTAGAGAGAGGTTCTGTGAAATAAAAGAGTTTATCCCAAGAACACAACACAATGACCTGGCTTGGTCTCAAACCCAGATATGTTGACCAAGATTTCAGTGCACTAACCATGAGGCCATTGCATCTCCCTTATAAATAATTTATTATGATTATAGATTGAAGGAAATTAAAGTTTGATTCACATAGTGTTCTGACTCACTGCTCATGTGGGTCACCATTTTTTAACTGCATATCTCTGGTCTTTATTTTAAAAAAAATACCATACTTCCTCTGCAAACCACGAGTGCACCTAGGTTATTTGTTTAAGTTTGGGAAACAGGTTCTTTTTTTTGAGAAAAGGTTCCCCCTAACCCTGTGATCTGGATCTTCCTTCTTTTTACCTGTTACTTTTCTTTTCTACTTGCTCTTCAGCAGCAGCTGTTGGAGAAGATGGATGTAAGTCTTGAACTGAGCTATAGGCATCAGGTGAAGGATGCACTTTATCTGATGATGAAGATGAAGACACCATGACACTAGGCTCTCCAGAAAATTGCAAGCTTTGAAAAGCCACATTGTCAATTGGTGTTTCTTGAGAGGGAGGGGTGCAGAAAAATCCACCACCACCTTCAACTGGTGTTGATGTACGTTGCTTGGAAGTGAACACCTGCTTGTACAGTGATCGCTCACTAGGATGTGATTCTCTGCTGTTTTTGTCATCCACTGGAGTGGATTGGTGTTGTGGTAACTTCAAGTCAACCGAAAGGTTTGGTCTTGTTGTCCCTTCCTGATGGCCTTGAGAAGAGGCAAACATGTCCTCTTGGGAAGAACAACCTTCTTGCTCTTCCTCCATTGACCACAGCGTATAACCAGTAACTTTGGCATGCACTTTCTCCCCTTTCGACCCAGCACTGCTAGTGCTAGTATCACTGGTTGACTGTTTCCTTAGTAATTGTGGAAGGTGTTTACGCACTTCTGGGGATACTTGGGAGCCACTTTCACTAGACAAGTTGCTGAGATCTCCATGGTAACTGCTGCTGCTCATGGCTGAGCCATGATCAGACTTATGTCCTGTGTATTGAGCAAAGTAAGTTGCAATTGTAATGTAAATATTCATCAAAAGCTATTGGTGATACAAGTCCAAATTCAAAGGACCCAGAGATTTTAGATTGGTTTTAGATTGGAGGTTACTGCTTGTATTTTTAGTTTGACACCTATACAGAGAGGAATAGGAAAGTATGCAATCAGTGTTCTTACCAACACTTGATGAGCATGTTGACTTCTTCTCCTCATCCACAAGGGCTGTAGATACTTCACTAAGGTCAGAAGCAACATCAGCCCCCTCACCAACAACACCAGTTGACGCCTCACTGTAATTGTCTCCACTAAAGTCATGAACACTTCCTCTTCCTTCCCCACTAACATGTTGTCTGGGAGGTGCTGAATCTGTTACCACAACTCGAACCAGTGGTTCTGAGAGGGTAGCAGCTTCTGGAGGGCGAATCAGCTCTGGTAGTGCATCACTTGAAGAGGATGGCTCGTCTGGATGAGGGGATTCTTCCTCATTTGCACTGGGATCTTGCTCGTTATTTTCATCATTGTCATTATCATCACCACCATCACCGTCCCCCCCACCGGCATCCCCTCCGCCACCTTCATCGCCCCCATCCCTACCCCCGTTATCATCACCTCCTCCACCATCGCTACCGCCTCTATCATTACCTCCGCTGCTATCACGTCCTTGTCCATGTTGGCCGCGATCGTCCGGTTGCCGGCTTTTTTCACCTTCCTCTCTTCTTACACCCTCTCCTCCAGTAGTAGAACAACTTATAGCGGCACAATTTCGAGGAAACGACGGATGGTCATAAGAGATGCCCGCTGAAGGATCCGTGCGACTGGTTGACAATCGAGTCAACTGTTTCAGAATCGCCAAATCACACGCACTGTCCGATCGAAAGACTGTTTCGGTTTCCTGAGACTGAGAATTCTCCACCAGTAAGCAAGGGGAGCTGAGATCAAGTTCTTCGGGAGTAAAATCCATCACAACAACTCGAACATAAATAAACACAATTCTCACAATCAAACCTAACCGCGCTTTATCTGCCTGAACTTGCCACGTCCCATAGTTCTTTGCAAGTTCAATCGTTCTGGCTCGCATAGACTTTCGGGAAAGTGTCTTTCCAAGATGGCGTTTCGCGTGGCACTTCGTCGATTTGGTGAGCCATATTATTATATTGCCATTGCTTTCTTGAAAGATACACTGGAGTCTTTATAATTTTGCATAGCTGTAAAGGTGTTGTTAGCTGAGGGCCTGTCAGTCTTATACGTCTGTTTCTGCCAGCAGCTCTTGCAAATGTCACGGAGAAATTCTCAAAGCAGACAAATTCAGCTCAATATTTGTCATTATAACTATACTTTACACTTCCCACCTTTCCTTATTGGAAGTATTGAGAAATCTTATGCTCATAAATTTTTTTTTCATGGAAATTGTGGGAAACTTAACATTGATATGTTTTCATTATGTCACTTACTTTTAAGGAAGCAATCTTCACATCTGTATGTCTTTTGCATTGTATTAAGATATGTACAGTCTCACTTCCTTGGCAATGTCTTCTACTACTGCTTTTGCAGAAATTGGCATTGAGGTACCCTTTGTCATGGAATAATGAAATAAAATTATTTCCAGTTTCTGATTATGCAGAGTTCTTCTCTGAACTCCACATTCAGAATGAAAATCATTGTTACTTTTCTTTCCTGTTTGATCCTTCTTGGAATATGTGGCTGTAAGTAAGAAAAGTTTTTACTTGACTTCATAAATATTTGGGAACATGCATGATTGATAAATAGCACATGTTACTGATGCCTTCATTTCATAATACTTCACCAATACAGGTGTCAGCCTAGAACAAATAGGAATTCGCCACAACTATGACAGTACCAGGAATAATCTTTTGATTGGTAAACACACCAAAGTTATTTGTCAAGGCTTTACTGGAAAACAGGTATGATAAACTCAACCAGATAATTTGATAAAGAAATATAATATTATCAGGTCACATGGCTGTCAACGATAAGAAAAAAGCAAGTTAAAGTTTTGATCTGGTTTCCCAAATGGATAGCCACAGCCAATTCCAACCTTCTTGAACCACTTAGTCATTGGAATATTTTACCATTACCCTCTGTCACTAATAGTGATAAGAAAGTTTGACTGCATAGAGAAAAACAATTATCTAGAAGGAAGTTGTACATTTTGAAAAAAAAAACTTTAAAACCTTAAAACATTCCATAGATGATGATATTGTTTGAATTTTGAAAAAAAATTCAGGTCAAAATGATCTTGAGCTAGTTTGAATTGCAATTTTCCTTTGCACTTGATGCATTACCATAGTCCAAAAAAATAGGAAAATTACAATCAAACTAGTTTGAAATCATTTTAGTCTGATGTCATTTTAAAGCACAACATGTAAAATCAATAATGTAAAATATTTAGAATGTTTTCTTCTCGGAATTAAGTTTGGAAAATAGTGGCCTTTGATTAACTTTTAATTCTCTGATCTCCTTCCTAAGTATTTGTCCTTTTCTTCGTTGCTTCTTTCCATGACTCAGTTTGAATTCTCTGGAAACAGGTCTTAAAACTGATCTACCAACTTGTGCTTTGCTTTACCTTACTAGGGAACTTTCCACAGTGAACAGTCAATTGCTTATGGAACACAGATGGTTGGAGGTGTTTCTCCAGGGAAAGGTGGTCAGTCTCACTTAGGGCTTTCTGTATTTGATAGTGTGAAAGAGGTAAGATGGTGACCTGAGACACTTCTTGGGGGTTGTCAAAAGTAGTCAGTGCTGTTACCAAAGTCTATATGTACTCACTGTAGTATTTTAGGATTATAGCTACTCCTGTGGAATCACCCTGGTTTTCTTGACAAAATAGCCACCAAAGGTGTGTTTGTCATTGATATAATTTATGCAGGTTTTGCAGCAGGTTTTGCCCCTTTGCTAGTTTGCACCCCCACCCCCTCCCCCCCCCCCCACCATCTTTTGAAGCATTTATAACTATTTTCTTCTAAACTGTCAGAGGATTGTGATTTCAGAACTTTACAGGAAACTCTCATGTTAAACTTTAAACAAATTTCTTTTAGGCCAAGGATGCAACTGGTGCAAATGCCACTGTAGTGTATGTACCACCACCATTTGCTGCAGCTGCTGTTTTAGAAGCAATTGAAGCTGAAATTGGTTTAATTGTGTGCATAACAGAGGGAATACCTCAAAAAGATATGGTGAAAATCAAACATACACTGGAACGGCAAGATAGATGTAGAATGGTTGGTCCTAATTGCCCTGGAATAATCAAGGTAATTACATTAACTTTAATTTGAGGAGAAAATAATGTCTTTGTTTAAGTTGAAAATGTTTATACCTATGTACAAAGCTTACAATCACTGTTTTGGAAAATCCAATTATTAGTATTATCTATTTTATTGATATTGATAGTGTTTCATTGTAGTTAGTTACAACTATTTCTATCCTTCTTTCAACTTGTATGATTTGCTGTCCATTGCTTGGCAGCCAGGAGAGTGTAAAATTGGTATTATGCCGGGTCACATACACAAACCTGGAAAAATAGGTCAGTAAACTAAACTTCTTCATTCTACTTCTTCTGTATGTGTGGCTTTTCAATGTAGAAATTTACTTGCCAATTTTCACCAACATGACTGTTCATTTTCATCACTGCACGTGAAATTAAATTGAGTGGAATGCTTTATATGCTTTATGGTAGTAACAGAGCAGTGATGCATTTACAGGCTAAATAACAAGTGGGTGGTTTGCATGATCAGCCGATTTGTCTCATGAAAAGTAAAGTAATTGGAGACAGTTAAGTACAAGTGAGATATGAATTTTGTCTTACCTCTGTTACATCCTAACAGAGGAATTGCTCTGCATTTGTTTCAGGTATTGTCTCAAGATCAGGAACTCTAACATACGAAGCTGTCCATCAGACTACGGAGGTTGGCCTTGGACAGTCTCTGTGTGTAGGTAAGTAGGAATAATTGTAAGGTTTTAGAATTTTCATCTTCAGTTAGGGAATTATCAAGGCTCATCCAGGGTATATGTGAGAAGAAACACAGTTATTTCTATTAGAATATAGAATTGTTGAAATGGATTTCTGATATTGATAAAATTGTTGTATTCATTTGACTTTTTTGATAAAATGTCATTGCATGTATGTCTAGAATTTTCATCTGATTGCAGTAATTTACCCACTGCTATTTTACACTATTAACAGAAATATTAGCTCCTTGGTAGGTTTTGCTCATTTTTCATATGTTAATCACAGGTATTGGTGGAGATCCTTTTAATGGAACAAACTTTATGGACTGCCTAGATGTGTTTTTAAAAGACCCAGAGACAGAAGGTATCAATTTGCTTTGCTAATTAACATCATTTTTCACATAATCATATAATACATTGTCTTGTTATCTCTTCTCCCATGATGTTCAGTAAACTGAAAAGAGTACATAGTTCTCTCTAGAATTTTTGTAAACAAAACGCATGTGATAGATTAGGGTTATGGTTAGGGTTATGGTTAGGGTTTGTTGAAAAGAATTATTAATTTCTATTACATAAATAACAATGTCATATGAGTTCCTCTTTCTTACTGAGTTTAGGTTCAGGTGTTAAAATTGACAAAGATTCCATGTTACAGTGCATCTGTTCAGTTAAAGATCAAATAAGTGGCACACAAGGCTCTGCTGAGTGTGTTGCATATGTTCTTATCACATTCTGTGATCTGTCCCTGTACAGAGGCACAGTACCATGGAATCTATTTATTCTAAATGATAAAAAAAATGTTGTTTATAGGTAAGAACCAATCCAAATGAGTGTATAATTCTGCTTATCATATGACACTGAATTTATAATTGCTCCAAACAAATAATTTTGGTTTATTACAGGTATTATCCTAATTGGTGAGATTGGAGGAGGTGCTGAGGAAAAAGCAGCCGAGTTTCTTCTACAGCATAATCAAGGGGAGAATGCCAAGCCTGTAGTGTCATTTATTGCTGGAGTAACAGCACCTCCTGGAAGGAGAATGGGTGAGGATGATCTTATGTCTTTTGTTGTTATGTTTCGGCCATTTTTGGCTCTCTACTCAGTGGACAGCTGTTTACAACTGTTTGGAGAAAGGTTTGCAAAAAGGCTTAAAAGTGCATGCAATAGCTCCAAAAGTTATTGAGGTTAGTGTGTTTTTAGGTCACAGTTTCTTGACCTCAAGTTTTCAGGGAAATCTGGGAAAATGTCATTGTAAGGATGAGGCATGGTGTGTTTGATGAATTTGTTGACTTATCTCCTTTCTTGAAACAGCTGTACATGTTGCAATGAAAAATGACCCCCTTATTCAGTGCATATCATTGCCTTGACAGCATCATACATGTATATTGTTTGTTATATACTTAGTCATGTACCGGTAATTACAAAATTGGCTAAGACTGTAACAGTAGGGCTATATGAAATTAGATGCCTTCAACTAGACACCTGAATTGTATCAGTGAGGTTGAGTTTGTCTTAAAGAAATATTAACAAGAACTAAACCTTTAGCTCCTAATGTCTAGTTGTTAATTCTCCCCTCTAACTGCAACACATTTCCTTGTAAATAAATTCCAAGAATTTGGTATTTGGTCAAGATAACCACTTCTACTGTATGTGACAGGTTTGAGTATTCTCAAAACCAGTTTGCTGGATATTGTAGGGGAAAGCTGCATGTTAATCACCTTTGGGAGTTTAAGGGTTAATGAAAAATTTTGAGAATTAGATAGTTTGAGACTTTTTTTGATAATAATTTTGTTAGTACATAGGAAACAATTTGTTAACAGTTAGAAGAAAGGACCAATCATATAGCACCCAACTGGCACATGGGTAACAAAGGCACTTAGTTACAGTTTTTAAGTCTCAAAAAACTGTATATGAACATCAACAGGACCATTTGCCAATTACATGGTAGAAAGATCATCAAAAAGTTAATCAGAATCAATTAATTCTTGCTAGGATTGTTTTGGAGACAGTTTCTTTCTTGACTGATGTTATTTCTTTGCACTATTTACAGGTCATGCTGGTGCAATTATTGCAGGGGGTAAAGGAACTGCTGAACTTAAGGTACAAATATATAAATATTTCATGTATTTATAGTGATGATAATTATTATTAACATCAAACTCTATTAACAGAATTCAGCTGATTGTTTATTGATATTGATATTCACACAAAATGGTCATCTAGGCCTATGTTAAATTTACAATTTAGCTCTAACTGCAGTGATCATTGTTTCACTTTAGATAAAAGCTCTTAAAAATGCAGGTGTTACAGTGACTTTATCGCCAGCTCAAATGGGCAACACCCTGAAAAAGGTAATACCACAATACTTTGTCTTAACCCTCTATACCTTAACATCAGTTTTTAAGTTCTCCACACCATTCTCTATACATTTGCTATGATACTTACAAGAAGAATTAGCTTGGTACTTAAGGGCTTTGTAATTTTGCAACCATTTCCTTTAATTCTCATGAATTTAATGTTTGATTCAGGGGTGATACTACTGGGAGAAATCAAATGCCTACCACTGGTAGGGGTCAAAGGGTTATTTAGCACAAGCTTCAAATGCATAAATGAAAGTCCTATTGAGATGCTTTTTGACTTTAACTTCTTGGTTTCAGGTTTTGGATGAACGAGCCCTGGCTGACAAGATGTAATTAATACTTTGACAATCATTTTGATAGTGTCCTCCTGTTGTTTATTCCCTGTGCAAGTAAAACTGATTTCATTGTGTGAAAATGAGCAAATTTTTTTCAGCTTTCACACTTTGTAAATCATTGTTCTGTGAATGCTGGAGGGTATTTGTTTTATTACGATGAAAGACCTTTACTGGAAGCTAGTGTTCTTTCTGATATTCTTAGCAAGAAATTGAAAGTGAGATTGAAAAATAATATAGTTCAAGATGATTGTTTTTAATATTTAGTGAATACCTTAATTGTATTATTTCAGACTGCCTCATTAGTTGGATGCTGTATTTTGTCACTCATAAATTATTCAAAGCAGTGACTGTTTTATTTGTAAGAGATGTGAAGCTATATCTCATTTATTACAATTACCAAGTGTAACTCCTCTGAAGCACAAATTCACATCATTTGCTGTCAGAGCAGTTGATCAGTAACCTTCAGTGTTGTATTTCTCCACTGGTATTTCAACTGTTTTAAATAAAATCCCTAAAATGTCCCTTCTTTACTCTGAAGCACAGAAATGTTTTACATTAAGAGAGATGTGTGACTTTGTGCTAGTTTGCTAGTTTATGGTGCAGGTGTCTTATAACTTTGTACAACAAGTGCATGATCATTTTTTACTGGCCATCTTTTATGTAGAGTTAGAGTAGACAGTAGGTGGGGGTGGGGTGGGGGGGCAGGGAAAGGCAGAAAGAAATGTAGTTTCTATTGCTCCACCCTCTCCCTACTGCTTTATTGTGTCCATCATTCAACCTCTTGCTGAAAATCAAAGATGGCAGCCATTCAACCCCTTCATAAAAATCAAGGATGGCAGCCACAATTTTGACCAAGGAAATACGGAGCACACACTCAAAAATGACACCTGTTCTGCTGGCTACTAGTAAGCTGGAAACTGGATTGGGACTCTCACCAGGTTACTGTGTGTGCCCCTGTGCAAGACACTGCACTTTCACAGGGTAATTTTGCTCTGGTATGTTCAAGAAGCCAAACCACTAGTAGCTGGTAGTTGATTATCAAATACCATATTACCTTAAATAACCTCCCCCCCCCCCTACACTACAATGTCTCCCCCTTGCTGTTGGTGTCAACCTCATGTTCCAGATTCAAGTTATCTAGGATTTAGGTCAAAGGAAAAGTACTGTGCAATAAAGACTGTTGGCCATGCCAGCTCATGGAAAGTAGAAGTCATTTTGCAAAATTCTTGACGACACATATTTTACTATTCTTTGACTTTTCAATTGTGTCCCTTGGAAGTCTTATTCAGAATACTTTTATTTGCTCAATTTTTGTCAACAATATTTATGATACGACTTCAACCATCCTGAGCTCTTTGTCTTGGACAAAAGATGAAATCTTGAAAACCTTATAGCAATTAAAATGTCATTTTGGTCTAACTCTGGAAATGTTCGACTCGTTTGTTACTCTTGTCCATATGATACGTAGGACTGTAACTAGATTTGCTCTCTCTATCCAATCAATGTGGAGTCCTCCAGGGCCTAGTTGTATAAAGGGCGGATAACGCTATCCAACGGATAAATCGCTATCCAGCGGATAAGTGACAGCAAAATGTATAGCGTTATCCATGGGATAGAGTTTTATCCAATGGATAGTGCTATCCAACCTTCGAACAACCGGGGCCAGGTGAGAATTCGATTGAAGGAAGTAAGAATTTGATGGTGTAGTAACGGACTTTCAATCTTCAGACTAATAGTGTCCTGCATTTGCAAATTCTCCAACAAGGTGTAAGGCACTGAGTTTATTCTTTCATTCCGTCTCATCTCACCCTCTTTCGCAGATCACTTCAATCACCTGTGGGTTACAATCCAGAGAGCTTAGGGATTAGTCGTGATATATCACCTTGGGGTGGTCGGAAAATTTGGGAGGATCACATGCTTTTCAGTGGGACCGGAGGGGGATAAGTCGTCCCCCTCCTATACACTATAGAAAATTTACTACCATTGGGGGATCACAAGAATACTATAGAGTTTAAGGGGGGTGAGGAAAATTTCACGGCGGCACAAATAAAATTACAGCAATTTACTGCGATGTGTCGCAACGACATTGAAGAAACAGAGGAAGACGATTTTATACTCACACTGGGTTCCATTAGTTCTGGTGACAGACATCTATTGACGGTACTGTTGACCACTTCTTCCAACATGAAGTGAACCAAACTTGTATTTAAAAAAACAAAACAAACTAATAAGTTATCTAGAAATTCTTCACCCACGAACGCCGACACTTCTTAGAGTCATTAAGGTAGTTAGTAGTGAAAATTGCGGTAAACAGCTGTTGTTTCATAATTAGGCTCCTTAATATTTTATTAAAGGGAGATGATAACTTAAGATTTAAGAAAAGCGCAATTCCATTTGCTCAAATGACAAATAAAAAAGATTATTGTGAGGGCAGCTGGCGAAAATCGTAGGGTCGCTCGATAACAAGGCTAAATCCACCGGACTGGGAAAAAAACAGAGATGCCAGCAGAATGAATGGTTAAAGGAAATTGTGATTCGTAATTTGCCCATTGTCACGAGCTGAGGACAGAGAAAAATTCTTAAGTCTCCCACGGGGAATGCGTATCAAACCAATGAATTTCACGCTTCGATATTCTGGGCAGTTTCTAAATTCAAACGAGACAGGCATATATATACAAATTGCCCTTACTTCTCATCGGATACAAATCTCCATAAGTACATCTGCAGGTAGTGCGTGTCAACTTGGATCTGCTGTAAACCATATTTTCCAAACGTCCGAAGTCGTACACACTCCAGAACAGTCTTAAAATAAAACAACACTTAAAGTCCATCAGTAAGCAAAAACGGTTTGTAAAATAGAAAGCAAGGTAGTGCGTGTCAACTTGGATCTGTTGTAAACCATATTTTCCAAACGTCCGAAGTCGCACACACTCTAGAAGAGTCTTAAAAATCAAACAACACTTAAAATCCACCAGTAAGTAAAAACGGTTTGCGTAAAGGAAAGCATGTCGTTAAAATACTGCTGGAAACACCGACTGTCAGCCTTACCTTTAATCCTATCTTAACAATTCCCGTTAATACAGAGACCTTGGAGAATTCCACCGAACTAAAGATCTCGATTCTCTCTGAGAACAGCTTCTGAATGTTACTGAGAAGGCTAGAATCGAATGCGGTGCTGATAAGAAACAAAGAACAAGAGATCAAACAGTGATTATGTTCATTTTTCCAAGTGTCCAAGAGGATTTAAAGAAGACTGGAAAAAAAGATTTAGGCATTAAATAACATCAGAATTAATTTAGAAGTCAAGATGTTCAGAAGTCGAGAACTACAAGCTCTCTTTGAAAAGCAAAGATTTTTCTTAAATCGAGCGTTACCTGGCTGTGTAACTCCACTGACTACGGCTCGGTTTGGTTGGATATGTATAGGTAAACTTACTGGAGTCTGAAACAAAAATTTAAAAACACTTGAGACAGTGTCTCATGAGATGTAAATACAACTTCGAGACTCTGCTATTAGGACAATTTCGAACCCCTGGCATCTGCAGCTGGAATCGGAAAATCAAGGAGTGCTTTATGAAGACTTACTGAGACACCAGCGAGGTCTTTAACTATATACGCCTCACTAATGGAAAGAGATGAACTCTTTCTTAACCACAAACCTGAACTGTGGGCTTTGTGCACACCCTCCTCGTACAACTGTCCAACTTGTGTATCAATAGCTGTCACGTCCTCCACGATTCGCTTCATAACAGCACGAACATTCCGAGGTTCAATCGTGTTTAGCCAGTCCCGTGTTTCCACGCTCTTACGAATCATCTGTATTGAGGGAACAGACAAGTTGCGGAAAACCGTACAGGCCATAATCTAGGCGACGGGGAGGCAACAAGGGAGGGGGGGAAGAAGATGTCGATCGTTGATTCAGTTAAGGTATAATTTTAAGGGGATAGCAAGGTTGGCAATATGTAGTTTCACCCTACCGCCCTCCCTCTACCCTTTCAACCCAAGACATGTTTGATAGTAAATTATGACAATTTCTTTCAGTATTTAAATTGAAGATTTTAGGAAATGTTTATCTAAATTTTCAAGTTGGCCATTTTCAAAGCGTGTCCCCCTTCTTCTTAAACTCTGGTTCCTTCTATGTTTATCACCTTCGCTTTAGTATTTCTTAATTTTGTGGTTTGCTTCGATTTAAGGACTTTTTTAAACGATATTTTGTGCAAATGGAAAAAAAACACGAAATGTTTTGACCTAGTCCTTTTAGTAACTTACAGTTCTCAGCAATTGACTAACTACACGTCATCTGCTCAATATCTATATTCCATACTGTCTGTCCTCCAATAGATCATGAGGAACAACCAATCAAAATGGGTGTTGTATTCAGCTTATATGAAATTATTTATAACAAACGTTCATCGTAAGACTTTGAACTCCATTAACTTAAAGCCAACCAGTTCAGTACGTACCTGGGAGATTGTTAGCCCTTGCATTCTCACATAATGATTCAAAAGGCTCTGTTGGAGAAAAAACAGTAGCAAACCATGGATAACATAAACACGACTGAGGGGCAACAATCTGACAAAACTACCGCATGTTAAAACTAAAGAAGGAAATCCTAATCTTTGTTTATTTATCACGAAAAAGACTGTTTCAGAGCCATGCAAAACCGGTTATCTGGAAAAGCCAAGTCACTGTTTGTGGATCTTGATCAATCAAATCTTAATTCTTTATTTCATGTGATCTGTTTTGGTCTCGTCCGTTTTCAGCCTTCGTTGTTGCTCTCCAATGTCTAACTTCCTGCTTTAAAGCTTTTCTATCTCATCGAGCCGACATTTTGCTTTCTTCAGGTTGAAAAAAAAAAGATTGAGCATGATTTGACTTCTTTAAGCCCTTGGAGCCGGTAAAACAGGCTTACAACGGGACTTAAACATTATATTTGTATTTTAAGCACCAGTACTCAAGATCGATCACTTTCCATCGCGGTAAATACTGTTACAGACCTGTGCAATATGCCGAGCTTCTGTAGCGAGATCTGACACGGAAGTTGTCAGGCTTCCTCGTCCCAACTCCTCGTCTACTGGAAATTGCTCGTCAGTGAGACTCAGCTACGTAAAAGATACGAAATTTATCAACCACGAGCGGGGCTTCCTTTATTCGAGTTAACTACTCTAATTCAGTGGTTTGCATTTTCCACAAGAATCGAGCGGTTTTAACAGTGCTTATACCTTAAGAAAAGAACTTTAACAACCCAAAAAACGTACCTAAAAAATTTACTCAAAAAACATTATCATTACCTCGCGTTATCATTATCTACAATCTCCGAGCATTGTAAGAACAATGTTCATAACATACCATATAAGAGATGGTTGATTCTTGAAAATCAAGACATAATCTCGATAACAAAAGAATAAGAGCTGGAGGAGCTGTTCCAATGTCACAAAAATCCTGAAGAAGAAAACAGCAGCAAGAAAGATTTTAATGGCTCTCCAAAGTGAGAGTTAATGAACACACTTATCTATCTGCATATTGTAATATCTATTATTTCGCGGGCTTATATGGAGACAGAGGAAATACTATTTGTAATAAACCACATATCGTGTGTCGTAGAGCAATTTTCAATTGAGTACCGAAAGTAATCGGGGATTTTATCTTTTTTTGCTTTATTTCGTCTCCACGGTAATTGTTCCACCATCTCAACCAATCAGATTAAAAACTGAAACCAATCGTGTCATGGTCACTTGTGTTTTCCCGCGCTTCTGGAGGTTAGCTTACTTCGAGTTCTCATTGGTTTCTCCTTCCTACGATTGGCTGTTGCGATTGCTTTGGTTTTGGTTTTACGACACTCAATCGCACAGTGCTCTATTATCTGCCATATAAACATTGAGTCACGGCAGCCTCGTTATCGTTCATTCGTCACTGACCTTAGCCGATCGCAGCACGTGACGTATAAACTCTACCACCAGGCCCTCTCGGACATCATCTGAACAGAAAGGTCCTCGGAAGTATGGTTTCACGGCAAATGTAATGTCTGATCCAATGAAGGTCTGAAAAAGGTAATGAATTACATATCCAGTTTATTTTTTGGTATTTTATCTGAGGGCAAGATAGCTTTTTTTTCGATGTGAACCTAAGCACTTTTGCTTTTTACTGTGAGCCTGAAGTCGAGTCACTGACATGACTTCCCATGAGGAGTGACATCAGTCCAACAAACTTGTTGATGAAATGATGACATCGTTTTCTTAAATGACGCTTTTTGTAAAACTAACGGTATAACTGGTGCATGGCAACTGATTGATGACCAGACATCCACTGTCCAATGACCATTTGTTGACATTTTGCGTTTGTTGACAATATGATGTCAGAAATGGTAGTGTTTTTCTTTCTCAGAGGCTGTTGTGAGCCTGCGACACTGGACTTCGAGATGTTCATGGCTTCATTTGAAATAAACGTAATTAGCAGACTGACTGATGAACTGACCAACCAAATAAATGATAAACTGACTGTCTGACTAATTGACTAACTAATTGAATCAGTGACGGATCAACCGATTGATTGATTTACTGACTGACTGATTGATTCATTGGGTGATCGAGCGACTGACTGACTGACTACTTGACCGAGTTTATTAATTGTTTGGGTGGGTTGGTGAGTGACTGACTGACTGATTGGGTGTACAAACCTTTAAGCTGCAAAGGATCAGCTTCACCTGGTTGGTGAGAGAGTTAGTCATGGTTGACAACAAATCCGACAGGGAAGGTGGTTTGTCGCTTCCTGACGGAGTTGCAAGGGTTTGTCTGGTATCTGTTAAACAAACTGAACACAATAAAAACTAGTCAGACGGCATTTGTGGAAGCTGATGTCTAGCACTGATGAGCATATCAATCAAATCTCCTCTTTAACTTTCGCTTAACAAGCCCACATAATTAGCGTTACGCAACGAGTGTTCTTCACCCGCAAGAAAAATTGAGTATCTGGCACTGATTAAGAGTAGCAGACCGTTTGCAGAACAAACTCTTGACAACATCACAATAACTTTCACTTCAAACAGCCGTGTGTAAGAGGAAAATAAGCGTCTGTCAACTACTGTTTACAAAAGAGTGTAAGGAAAAGTTAGCCTTAAATGCACAGCTAACTCAGTACTCGACCTGCTCTATGATCAAAGGAAAGACTTACAGAAGCCATCTGTACTGAGTACTTACCGGCAAAGTGCTGTCGAAGGCTTTTCGAGTAGTCTTTCACTCTATTGTGAGCAGACCGAACCACTATATTTGCTCCCGAACTAAGAACAATGGACAAAGTCAGTAACCCAAATATTGTATATTTGAGTGGGTAGGGTCTTGACCAAAGACAAAGGTAATTTAAAGGAAGAAGTTTATTATCGAGATTGGAAAATTTACTCGAGTTTGGAAGAGTCCAACAAGAGTACTTGATCCTCAGAAGAAATTTCATAAGAAAGTGCAATTATTTTACAGGAACTTACCGTCCAACGCCAATCTCGGGAAGGAGCTGCTGAACTGCTTGAAGTCTTCGGTGAAAGCGATCTAGTGCTCGCACTAACAGTACATTGTCACCAGTATCCGACTGAAAGAAACAAACGTGTTACTACTAGATGTATGCATAAGGCTTGCACATTCTCTCATATCATGTCTCTCAAGGTTCTTTCAACTGTTTGTTGAAACGAAGTGGCTTTCAAGTGCAAATATACTCAGCTGTCATTAACAAGATCTTCCTTTGTTTTTGGTTCATGAACGAATTCTAACGCATGGAAAATTGATTTTACAGAATTCGTTTTTTTTAACACTATAGAACCAGAGGACCTAGAGTGCCTGCTGCTACATTAATCTATGGTGTTCTTACCAATAATTTTTGAGATGAGTCTCACGTCTATAGCTTAACCCTAAATACAACCTAACATCAGTATGCATATTCTCCATACTGTTCTCTATACATTTCCCGAGGTGTTGAAAGGGAGAATTTGTTTTACAATCAAGAGCTTCTTCAGTTGGAAATCATTTCTTTTATTCTTGTGACCTTAATGTGTGATTCAGGGGTGATACTGTAAGCAAAAATTAGATGCTAGTCACTCTTAGGGGTTATTAGGGTTAACAGAAATAAGACCAACAAATCACCTCTAGTTCAATCCTGGCTTCTGTAAGTTTGAAGTACTCACTCATCAATGATAGAATGAAATTAGATAGTTTCTCCGTAACTATCTTTGCCAAATCTTGCTGATCTTGGCCATGCCTAGAAGAGACATAAAGGTAATTCATGTTCTTCAGTGTGTTAAGATACTAAGATACTAAGATACTAAGATACATAGCATTCCTAGCATCACTAAAATTTCCTCAAACCTTTAGGCCTTCTCTCATAGAAGTTTATTGGATAGACAAAATAAAGCCTGTAAAGTGTTATTTGATACAACATAAAATTCTCTCTGTGTTTCACACTGGAATACTGAAAAATTGGGAAGGAGAATGTATCAATATACCAGATGTTACCTTGGGTTTTTTTTCCAAGCAACCCATAAAGTTCTCTTATCATCTTGGGAAAAATAATCTGGTCAAAGACATAGCTAGGGAGGAGAGGGGCTTCCTAGATGCATTTCACCCCTTTGCTTCCTCTTTTTCAAGAAAACTGATATTCCTTTAATTAATAAAAATAAAACAATCTGGTATGCAACAGGATTACAACCAAATGCTGGTAAACTGCTGGTCAAGGACTCAAACCCCATCGAGGAGAGTGAGAGAACTTCTTGAGCCCAGTTTATTGAGGTCTTGGTTCATAAGAAACTGGGATTCAATTTTAGCTTTTGTTCTTTGACAAAATTGCATGTAACTAAAGAATGAAATGACATGTTCAAAATTAGTTTTTCTTCTTACTCTGTCATCTGCCTTTGAATAAATTGTTCCTTGTAGGATGCAATCACCAAACAGATTGAACTCAGGAAGCCATTACAGCCACAGTCAATGAACTCCAATAAGTCCTATGGAGAAAAATTTGTCAGACTGCTGACCCACTAACACAAAAAGTTTATGACTCCACCAACTGATGTTGTTTTTATAAGTTAAACCTGCCATTCTCTTCAGGCAATTCAATTCTGTTTTATTCATTTCTATTTTTTTATTTATCAAACCCTCCCTCCCTTATCATTACCCAGTGGGCTCTGCTTTAAGGTGTTAAGACGTTTAAGGTAAGACTTCCTCTTATTTGGTTCTCTGAAAAATTATAATCTATTAAATCATTGCTAGTCTCAAATTTAGTCATGGACAGAGAGCATGTTCTAAAAGTACCTGCATGAATTTTATTTGGTACGGAAATTTTGCTACTAATTGTTTATTGTTTGACATGTATATTTGTTGGTAATACACTGTTGCTAAAACATTACTTTCATAATTTAATTTTTTTCCATCATTTTGAGTTTTACAAAATCTTCTTTGATTCACAGCTTACACTGATAGGAAGAAATAGCATAACACAAGTCACAACTCACCATGGGTCTCACTGGTTTTCCTTCTTGTTCTTGATCTTTTTCTTCTCCCTCTGTTTTTTTTTTCCAAATTTTAAAACATGGATAAAGTCATTGAAGATATATTCCAGCAGTTTCTCATGCTAAATAAATTTTATTTTTTTGCTAATTGACTATTACATGGCCTTATATTAATTAAAATGTACAGCTGTATTTAGTGTACTTCATCAACTGATGCCCATGTGAATGACAATCGATAAATGTGATCAATGTCCAGAAAAGATCAGTAAGTGACTGAAGTTTTTATCAATCATGTCATGCAGGCCAGCCATGGTTCTTAGATAAAAAATTCCTCAACACCTTCTCAAGGTAACAAATACAGATTCTTTAAGAGTCTGCCTTGTTTACCCTCAGACTTCAACACTGAGAGTTTGTTACCAGAAAAGTTCTGAAATGAAGTGCAAACAACATAGAGACCCACCTTTGGCAGCCACTGGTATATCTCCTGACAACTTTAATTCCACTTGCACCTTAAGCATTTTAAGACTTTCATCTAGTCTCTCTTGTGCACTATTTAAAATCAATCAGTTGGTCAACGTTTGTTTATTCATTACTTCATTCCAAGCAGAACAATTGATACCTATACATGGTACAATGCCTGGGATAAAATGATTACTTTAAAATTATATTAGTATTTTACTAAAATGGTAACCAAGAAAAGAACCCTACACAAAATGAAATAAGAACATTTCTCAGTCATCAACAAATAAGATTGAGAAAAATTGCAATTTTTTAGCTGAATGTTATTCTGGTTGAATTGTTTTTCTGAATGTCTTTGGCCAAATTGCACAGGGCTTTGTATGTCTTCAATATGTTCCCTGCTCAGATTCAGTGTTGAGATTTTCAGAACTTGAATTTGTTTAGTCTACAATTCTTACTGTGCTAAGAATTCATCACACAGTTCATCTGCAGGTTCCCTCAGTTGTAGGAGAAGATCCACACATTCTGCCAGCTGTTTGGGTGTTGACTGTAGACAGGCAAAAAGAGTTTGATGTCACCTTTGGGTTTTTTAACTACTTAATATAAAGAATTAAGTTACACGCTACAGTTTTTTTTTCACTGAAGGCAAATT